CCTGAATTACACGCAAGGCTGGAGACCTGCCTAGAGAAGGAGGGAGTGAGATCCAGCGGGAGCGATTCCAGGGTTACCTCTCCATGGCACTTTAGACAGTGCATGAAGAAGCAGGGAGGAGGGTAGGATACACCAGAGACTAGGGGAGGATGGCAGTGGTGGAGTTCTTGTGCTACAGGGCACTGGGTAGCCACTCTTCTGTTCCTACCCACCAGGAAGCTGGTAGCTTCAACTAGTCAAGAACTCAACAGTCCACTTGCCAGTCCTGACACATCTCCTTTGGCCCAGTCCTACATCTTGGTTTCACTCTCTCCGTCTCCTCCTGGGCCTGTCAACGTACTGCTTTCTTTTTACCCAAGTGGTTAGTCAATATTTGGGGTGTTGGCAATTGTTTCTGTCAGGAGGAGAAATTGATGACATGAGTCAAGTATTTCTTTGATGCAATCCTATTTATAGAGGATGTACAAAGTCCTGTTTCCCCAAACACAGTAGGAACAAACAACAGGAGGCAGTTCCTTTGCTCACTAGTCTAAGGCCAAGGCTACACTTCAAAGTTCTCCGGACATACCAATGTCAGTCAGTGGTGCAAAGAGGTGTGATCTGTGACTGACATCACTACCTTGCCAACAGCTTCTAGCACAGATGCAGCTCTATTTACTGGGGGTGGAATTAGGTGTACCAGCAGAAGTTTTGCAGGAAAAACTGGGTCCAAAGGAAGAGTACTTGCCAACTCGGAGAAGGATCGGGATATTCTGCAGGGAGACTTGGATGACCTTGTAAATTGGAGTAATAATAATAGGATGAGATTTAATAGCGAGAAGTGTAAGGTGATGCATTTAGGGATGACTAATAGGAATTTCAGTTATAAGCTAGGGACGCATAGGTTAGAAGTGACGGAGGAGGAGAAGGACCTCGGAGTCCTGGTTGATCGCAGGATGACTATGAGTAGGCAATGCGACGTGGCTGTGAAAAAAGCTAATGCGATCTTGGGATGCATAAGGCGAGGTATTTCTAGTAGGGACAGGGAGGTGCTGCTTCCGTTATACAAGGCGCTGGTGAGACCTCACTTGGAGTACTGTGTGCAGTTCTGGTCTCCTATGTTTAAAAAGGATGAACTCAAACTGGAGCGGGTACAGAGAAGGGCCACTAGGATGATCCGAGGAATGGAAAACCTGTCCTATGAAAGGAGACTCGAGGAGCTTGGTTTGTTTAGCCTAACCAAAAGAAGGCTGAGAGGGGATATGATTGCTCTCTTTAAATATATCAAGGGGATAAATACTAGGGAGGGAGAGGAATTATTTCAGCTCAGTGCTAATGTGGACACGAGAACGAATGGATATAAACTGGCCGTGGGGAAATTTAGGCTTGAAATTAGACGAAGGTTCCTAACCGTCAGAGGGGTGAAATTTTGGAACAGCCTTCCGAGGGAAACGGTGGGGGCGAAAGACCTGTCTGGCTTCAAGATTAGGCTAGATAAGTTTATGGAGGGAATGGTTTGATGGGATAACGTGTCATTAATCAATTAGGCAATAATGGCCATCGCTGGTAAAATGAGGGTCTGGCTAGAGACTCTTGCCTGTATGCTCGGGGTTCTGCTGATCGCCATATTTGGGGTCGGGAAGGAATTTTCCTCCAGGGTAGATTGGCAGTAGCCCTGGAGGTTTTTCGCCTTCCTCCGCAGCATAGGGCAGGGGTCGCAAGCTGGAAGATTCTCCGCAACTTGAAGTCTTTAGATCACGATCTGGAGACTTCAACAGCAGAGTTAAGGGAAAGTGGGGGGGGGGGTCAACATTTATGGCCTGCATCATGCGGGAGGTCAGACTAGATGACCATATTGGTCCCTTCTGACCTTAAAGTCTATGAGTCTACTTTGCTGGTATAAAACACAGTACACCTATATCAGCAAAGCACTCTAGTATACACTAGCCCTGAGACTCTTTCCAGCCAGCACTCTGCCCAAAAAGCTCTCTCTTGTGGCCTTCTCTCAGGGCCACATTACAAGTCACTTCACTTCTGTCTCCTGGCTTTCGGCCTCTCTTTGGGTGCTTTCTGGCTGCTTCTGGCTCAGTCGCGGACACAGCTGCAACCAAAGGAAATCCTAGCCCATGTTTGTATTCACTCTAGTCTTTGGGCAGTAGCTGGCTACCTTTGTTTTGGATCTCACTATACAACAAGGCATTAATTTGTTTCCTTGTTTAGCTGGAACGGAAAGTGGTTATCACACCCACCAAGGTCAGTGAAATCTGTGACTGCCCATAAATCAAAGACATACTCCCTGGAATCCAAACACCCTTCAGTATATCATACTTAACATGTCCCACACCAACTCTTTGTCTTCCCTGTCAGCCTCTCAGCTGCCCCATTCTCTGTGTCTGCTTACAACCCTATCCTCCCTGCTGCTCAGCGGGTCCCACCCTATCTGGGAGTCAGCTTTGCTGTCTCCCTCTCTCATGCCCACCTATCCAGGCCATGTCCAAAATATTGCTGGTGCTTTCTTAGTGCTGCCAACATTTATAATTTTATCACGAGTCTCACGATATTAGGTATTTTTCTTCAAGTCCCAGCTCCTGGGTTTCTGTGGTTACAAGAGAATCTCAGCCTTCATCTAAAAAAAGAAAAAAATTGCTTGCCTTCAGGGCTACAAAGAAAAGTTGGAAACTGTGAACCAGAGGCTCCAACATGAGGAGACAAATGAAAAGAACCCCACATTTATTATTTTAAAATCTCAAGATTTTTAAGGCAATTCTCAATTTTGGAGGCTGGACTCATGATGTCTGAATGATTAGGCTTGTCAATACTGCTTCCTTTATCACATCTCTGAGACCCAGACTTCTCTCAACAGCTGTGCTGAGCCCAGTCTTCTGCAACAGCCATAATGTGTAACACTGTACCACAGTCCCCAGAAAGATGTCCTGTACAAATAGCACAATGAACAGACAAACAGCATAGTGCAGGCAATCCGTTCTCACTTCTCGTAAGATTTCATGTGCCACAGCTAATCAGGGTATCATCAGAACATAGCCAACATGTCTCATATACAACCACAAACCTTCTAGGCCCAGATCATGAAATCCTAGCATTTCCCTGAAAAGAGCAAAGACCAGGAGGGTGACAACATCACACTTGGTAGTGGAGATATGTACCTGTGAAATCAATGCGAGGAAGACTCAGCTCACAAGCAGTACAAGTATAGTGGCTTATCCAAACTGCAGATGTGGGCTGTGGGTTTCTTAAACAATTATGAAACAGAGGAGGAGGGACGATTACTATCACTGCAGTACAAATTCCTTTGGAAAACTTCTTCATCCCAAAATTTTATGAAGTAGGTATGGAAGGATTAGAAAAGTGCAGATGGAAAGCTAAGGCTGCCTACATTGTACATTTCTTTTAAGTCTCACTTGGCTTTTCCTGTCCCTCTGTTTATAACTCGGATACACCTGGAAGGGTTTTAACCCTATGTTATTGACATGCCTGGCCTCGATGTGGTGTCTCTAGAGATGTTCATGGTCTCTCCAGACACTTTTCACAATTTACCACGTACCTGCTTTCTCACATTGATTTCAGCCATGAGAAGATAATTGTTGTTTATATTACCCCAAGGCTAAGCTCTAGAGGAGGCCACAAAAAGCCTTCCAAAAAATGTCTGCCTCTTCAGACTGACAGGGAGACCACACTTAACTTCTGTGCATTAAAATGAGAGCCCATTGCTTAGAGTTTCTGCCCAGCTTAGGCAGCAGCAGCAAGCAGGCCTCGGATAAGCTGCTCAGGGGAACGCAGGTCTCTTGTTTCGGTGGCCATTGAACTTTACACCACGTGTGTATGGGTCTGGGAGTAGCACTAAGAGACTCCCTGCCCTCCCCCTGTTCCTCCCAGGAGCTGAAAGCACTTGCTGGTGCCACAGGGGGTTGAGTCCAATCCCTTTCCACCCCAGCTCTTGCTCCCAGGGCTGGAGGAGCTGTAGGGTCACCAGCCAATCAGTGTGCTCAACTCACTGGCACTCTGATGGTGCCCAAGATGATACCTGTCGTTAGAGAGAGGATCGTGGGGTGGAGGGCAATCAAAAGCCCTGGCTGGCTGAGAGGGCCTGAATCGATGAGTTGTGCTCATTGTTAGAGCTGTTGTGCTTTGTGGACTCTCACAGCTGCCCAGCAGCAGGACGTGCTATTGGGAACAACTCCGGTGTCACTGCCCTGTGTGGGGAAAGATCTCTCCTTGCTCTGCCTTAACATCAGAGCAAATATTAGGTAACTGGGTCTCCTGTTTTTGATTTATTACGTAAGTGTTTCATGCTGTTGCACAGTCCACACGGAGTAAATAACCAACAGAGCTGGGGATTGGGAGGGAAAGAGAGGTGCAGTGGGATGGAGGTGCTGTGTGTGGTGGAGAGGTGGGAGGCTGTCATATTGCGTTCATTGTTCCTATGATTATTTATTTACAAGAGACAGTTGGTACACCTTGCTATGACGTTAGGGAATGTCCAAACAAAAGGCTCCTGGCTGCCTTGCATTGGAACAACCACAGGAAGAAGAGACTGGGCATTTCACTCTATTGCCTCCTCTCTGGTTTGCAACACAGGGTGTCTATCCCAGTTACTGCGCCAGGTCAGCGCTCTCACCTAAAGGCAAGGCAGGGCAGGCCAGAGCTGAGTTCCCTCATTGACAAAAGGCACCTAGTGAAGCAGCAACAACAGAAGCAACGTGGAAAAGCAGAGTCAGAGAGAATGCCAAAGCAAGAACAAGAACTAAAATATTGCCCCTTCCTGGCTGGCACGCCTCCCCCACCTCAGAACCACCTACTCCTTCCCCCTCCCCATCTGTCGCTGTCTCCCCACTTCATTGCCCCCCATGCCCTTCTCCAGCCTGCGCTCCCTCCCCACATGCCCTCTCCATCTGGCACTTCCTCCCTACCTCACCACAACTATATCCCAGCTGAGCCTGAACACGAAGGTCTCTGCACTTCTCTCCCTGCACCACAGGCTGGGCAGCATTTCCTTAAGAGTCATGGTCTGGTGAGTTTGCTGGTCTTTCCCCTGCAAACCCTGGGCAGATGTGAGGTGTTTGCAAGGCGCCCTTAGACCCGCCTGGGCTGTGGGAGCTACTCTGTTTTCAAGGCTACTTACTGAAGCACAGTCTATACTACTGCAGTTTGCTCTAGAAGGCCAAAGGCATGAAATGGCCCCACTGTCTTCATGAATCTCGCATGGGGTTGTATTTTCTGCACCTCCCTGACAATCATTGCCAGCCCCAGCAAAGGAACTGAAGCAATGGACTCTTGCGATAATTGGACCTAGAAATTTACATTAATTGTGAGCTTGACTGTAAAAACTATGTAAAGTTGCTAAGATGTCACAATAACCGGGGGGAGGGATAGCTCAGTGGTTTGAGCATTGGCCTGCTAAACCCAGGATTATAAATTCAATCCTTGAGGGGGCCACTTAGGGATCTGGGGCAAAATCAGTACTTGGTCTTGCTAGTGAAGGCAGGGGGCTGGACTCAATGACCTTTCAAGGTCCCTTCCAGCTCTAGGAGATAGGATATCTCCATTTATATATAAAAAAACCCCCAACCTATAACAACAAATGTTGATGGGAAAAGGTGCTGAAAAGATCTGTTGATATAACTCAAGGACTGTGTTAAGATCATGCTTGGTAAAAATACAAGATGTGGAACCAGAAATTAAGAAACCAAAATTGATGTGTCAAATATTAGGACTAATTGGTGGGCAAAATAATGAGGCAACGGGCTATTCTACCGACCATTCCCTTTGTGGGTCCTTAAAGAAAAATTGGGTAGAACAGATGGAGGCTACTAGAGTGAACTTCAATTTCTTAGCTGCCTCCCCTACCGTTTCCTGGGACCCTGGGCCTTCGTCATCCTGATCCTGAGCAATGTCCCGATCAGACAGGCCAGAGAGAGGGCTTCAGATGACTTTGCCACCCCGACTGGTTCCAGCTGAACCCCAAGCACCACCTGAGATGAAACAGGATCAGATTTTAGCAGCAGCAACAGCTCCAGCCCATGGCAACTAACTTCTCTTTTCCCCTGAAGGACAGTTATTACCATCTTTGATACCATCTTTCTAAGAGACTGTCAAACAAGGGCTTTCCCTTCTAACAACATTCTCCAGCTAACGAGAAAGAGAACAAGGCATGTTGTTAAAATGAAAGCCTTACTTAATACTTTACATTTCAAATGCTTTAACTTTTTTCCTTCTTCTCTCTATTGTTAACAAACAATTGAAAGGATATTTAATGCTATGTTTACCACGATACTAAGCAGGCTGAGTGTTCTGTATACCCAAACCTAGACTTTGTTTAATGCTGGACAGTGAATTAATGCAACAGGGCCACTCAGCGTAAAGCCAGCCCACCATCCTGTCTGCAACAGCACTCACCAGAGGAATATTCAAGGGGTTTGTCTATACAGCAAAAAACTACAACCCCCAGCAGTGAGCCTCAGAAGCCGGGTCTACAGACATGGGCTCGCAGGGCTCATCCCATGGCATTAAAAATAGCCCCATGGGCATTGTGGCTCAGGCTGGAGCTCGGCTCTGAAGCTTGGGGGGGCGTTGTCAGTGCCCGAGGTGGGACGTCTCTAGCCAGCTCTTGTTAGTACCCCTGTGCAGGAACCCGGAGTGTGTGGCAGGCTGAAGTGTGGGTCCCTGGTGTAGGGTTTCGCTGTCCAGCATTAAACAAAGTCTAGGTTTGGGTATATTCAACCAGACAGCAAATGTGAAAAATCGGGACGGGGGTGGGGGGGGTAATAGGAGCCGCTATAAGAAAAAGAGCCAAAAATCAGGACTGTCCCTATAAAATCAGGACATCTGGTCACCCTAGGCTACAGGCTCACACCCCGGTGCAGTTCCCGGGGGATCAGGTGATGGGTGTGCTGAGCTGGTGCAAGCGCTGCGGGTTTCTCCCACGGCTGCTGTGTGACTCCCCTGGGACCCCAAGTCTGGGGACGAGCATCCCCTGGCGGGGCTCGAACCCCCGCCACAGCCAGAGGCGCCTGGCTGGGTCCGCGTCCGGCCAAGTGTATCGCAGACTTCGGCCACCACAAACACCGACCGCCAGCCTCCGCCTCAGGCCCCGCCCCCACGGCCCGGCCCCGCCCCGCCAGGTGAGTCCCCCTCCCCCCCC